ATGGCCGCAGCACAAAACACCGTGTGCGCGTGCAAACACAGCGAATTTCGTTTGCGGCTCGGAAGATATACACACGTGTTTGGATATTTTCTTCAGTGTGGCAGATTCACCCGCTTGTGCGGTGATGCCTGTCTTGTCAAGTTTCCGACACCGGTCCCTGCTATGTAACCGACAATAGCAGCAGCGTCAAAGCATGAAGTCACGTGATCGTTTAACTTGCGGTTGGCAGCGCGGTTGCACTGCGGTAACACGCCGTACACGCAATACAGCACGTACACGCGGGAATTATACGACGTACTCAGTGGTAACACGACACGTCGCACGCGGTACCACGACGTACACGCGGCGTAACGCACTTAAGCAGGTACACGGCACGTACACGACACGTACAACGTCCAGGTACGCACCGCACGTACACGCACGTACACGACGGGTACACGCGGATTACACGCAGTACACGGCACGTACACGCGGTTACACGCGGATACACGCACGTACACGCCGGGTACAGCGCCGGGTACCCGCACGTACACGCGGGTACACGACGTAACACACGATACAGCTGTACACGCTGGGTCACACGCAGCGTACACGACGGTACACGGAAAGGAGTAACAGCGAGAATACAACAGACACGATTAACACCCGCCGCATAAACACACAGACAACGTACCAAGACATACCAGCAAAAGAATAACGCAGAGACCGTACAAAAAAAACAGTAGAAACACGCGAGGTAAACAACGCAAACCGAACACAGTAATACGAACCGAAAGTATAATAAGCATATCACGGAAGAATACACAGCAACAGTACAACGCCAAACACGGTACACGCGATGAAACGCACGCTACACACAAGATACACGCACGTACAACTCGCGAGGTACACGCCGTGCACGGCACGTTGCCGCGAGAAGTACACGGCCGTACAACGCGGATGTAACAGGAGATACACGCCGCATACACGCGGCGTACACGCACGTGCACGTGCGTGTAACCGCGATGTTCGGGGCGATGATATTCTGTGCTGTAAACAGTCGCGAATGTACCGTGCGTGTCGCGCAGTGTACCGTCGAAAAAAAACACAGAAAAAAAATAAACAAAAACATAAAAAACGTGTAATACACGCGAAATGTAAACCGACAGACTCGAATAGCGTGTATCTTTCGTTACGTGAAAGTGTACGCGCGTCAAAAAAAACCAATGTACCGCGGTGCTACGTCGATTGTGTATCTCCGAAAAAAAATATGTACCCGCGTGTAGTGAGTGAAAATCATGTGATGTTACGGTGGACGATGTAATCTGCGTGTACGTGCGATGTCCGACGTGTACGTGCGACTGTACGTGCGCTGTATCTCTCATGTAACGCGTGTTTACTAGCGTAACGAATCACACGCGTGCCTAACGTGCGTGTACCGCGAAATAGTCGGTCGGTGAATATCCGCGTATTCGTACCGCGATAGTACGTGAACCACAAACACAAAACACCGATCGTATCTGCTAGGATACGTGAGTTGATAACGTGAATGTACAGTGACGAATAAAGATACCGCGTGTTAACGTGCGTGATATACTATCGCTGTACCGCGTGTACGTGCGTAGTTACCGCGGCGTAATCGTGCGTGTATCGCGCTGTACCCGCGGTGTACGTGGTGTATCCGCGTAACAGTCGAATGAACGAATGTACGATAGAAGCAATAGTACCTGGACAACAAGACAAAAAAAAAAAAAAAAAAAAAAAAAAACAAAAAAAAAAAAAAACGAAAACTAGTCACGACTAGCGATGTACACGCGATTAAGGATTACGTTGCGATGTACACCCAAGCGTGACAACCGCAAACAAACACAAACAAAACAGAACTGCGAAAAAAAAATACGAATACCAGCGATTGTAAACGTAACGAAATAAAAAAATCTTAGCGCGTGTTAATGGTGTACCGTGCACGTCACACTCGTACCCGACATGTGACGCTAGCGCTACGTACGTCGCGCTGTCGTTCGTGATCTCGACATAAACAACACATAATGGTAACCAGGTCGCTCCCGTGCGCCCATGTCCGGTGCGTGTCACCTGCGTGTCCGCTGCGTGTCCCGACGAGTGTCAGTGGATGTCCTGTTCATAGTCGTCCGTTCCCGCGTGTGAAAACATCAACAAAAACAAAAAAAAAAAACAAAAAGACAAAAAACAAAAAAAAACAGAAAACAACAAAAAACAAACAAAAGCCGTGCGGATCATGTACAGCTAACGTGTATCTGCTTGAATACCAACGCCGTGTCAACCCAGCCGTGTACGTGCAGTGTACGTGCCGTGTACCGCAGATGTACGTGCGTGTGCCGCGGCGAATGTGCGAAAAACAATGTACGCGTGTACTTGGAATGATCACCGGATGGTAACGATGCGATTGATCTTGAGACTGAATACACGCAGGTGAACCGCGCCTGCAACCGCAGTTTAACACGATACACGCTGACTTGACTCTCGACCTGTGCTACAATTTGGTCAGTAAAACATAATACATAAGCACCGGAAACTGATGGAACTTGACAAGAGAAAAAACAAGACTCGATCGAAAACAAATAGAGCAACATCTGCCAAAAACGTGGAAGAAAATATCAACAACGTGTGTATTTTCCACACACGCCTAGACACACAGCCGCCTGTGTACAACACTGAACAACGCGCACAACGGTGTGTATTTGTAGACATAGCGACACACATCAGCAACGACACAACGTGAGAAGCCGACCTTTCGAGCGCAGCACAAAAACACACCGTTGCTGCGGCAATGCAGCATTAATATACGCACCACCACACGAATACAAACCACCTGCTACTGACCCAAATCCGTAACAGCAATACATTATACGCTCAGAACTAATTTTGTACCGCCAATATCGCGTACGTCTACACGTTAGCCCGGATTTGTACTAGTATGCAACCAATTTAACAGCAGCACAAGGATCTGTAAAAACGCGTCGCATACACCGCTATACAACTCGTAACTATACCCCAGAAAAAAACACACAAGAGAAAGAAGAAGACAAACACCACCAGAGAACACAGAGAAGAAGAAAAAAGACGAGAAGAAAAGAAAGAAAAACTGACGAAAAGACAAAGAAAGAGAACAACAAGAACGAGGAAGACAGCAGAAACGCATAAAAAGAAAAAACAGACAATCGCGAAAAGAAAAAGAAAGCAGCAAAGAGAGAAGATGAGCAGAGCAGACACGAGATAGAGAGAAGCGCCGTCTGTAGCTGCGCTGACAAAAAAGCAAAAAATAGTCGATGATGTTGTAATGTGACTGCTGGACGGGAAGAAAGCAGGCTATCGTGTGCTGTCACGTACCTGCAAACAGCGCGTGACGATAGAATGTAGACGTGTGTGTGTGTGCAATGTAGAAAATGTGTGTGTCAAAACCCACGCAACAAAAAACAACAAAACAAAACAACACACACAAAAACAACCTGATGATAGATCGTGCATGTAGGATGCAACAACACCAGAATAACAACACTCGACAAAAAAAACACTGTGTCCAGTGGTGTATGTGTGAGAGTGAATGTAAAAAAACAAAATAAAAAAAAAAAAACAAAAAAAAAAAAAAAAAAAAAACACGACAAACAAATAACAAACAACACGAAACAAGACACCAACAAAAAAAAACAAAAAAAAAACAACAACACAAAACAACAACCAAACAAAAAGAACAAAACAACCACAAAACAAAAAAAACATAAAAAAATAAAACACCAAAAAAAAAAAAAAAAAAACCACAACAACAACAACCACACCACAAAAAGGTGATGTGATGTGTCGTCGTGCGCTAGTGAAAATGAATGTGAAAACACAAAAAAAAAAAACAAAAAAACACAAAACAAAAAAAAAAAAAAAAAAAAAAAAAAACAAACAAACAAAAAACAAAAACAGAAAAACAAAAAACAACAAAAAAAAAAAAAAAAAAACAAAAAAAAAAAAAATAAAGATAAGATAGATAAGAAAAAGAGAAGAAAAAAAAAAAAAAAAACACAAAAAAAAAAAAAAAAAAAAAAAAAAAAAAAAAAAAAAACAAAAAAAAAAAAAAAAAAAAAAAAAAATAAAAAAAAAAAAAAAAAAAAAAAAAAAACACCCAAAAATACAAACACAAACAAAACAAAAAAAAAATAAACAACAAAAAAAACACAACAAAAAAACAAAAAAAAAAAAACAAAAAAAAAAAAAACAAAAAAACAAAAAACAAAAAAAAAAAAAAAAACAAAAAACAAAAAAAAAAAAAACAAAAAAACAAAAAAAACAAAAAACAAAAAAAAAACAAACAAAAACAAACAAAAAATAAACACAAAAAAACAAAAACAAAAACAAAAAAAAAAAAAACAAAAAAACACAAAAAACACTCAAAAACCCAAAAAAAAAAAAAAACAAAAAACAAAACAAAACACAAACCGCAATCCCCGGTGCCATGTGTGTGTGTGTGTGTGTTGAAATTTTCATGCAACGCGTGTAAGCGCTTATTATCATGTTTACGTGTACTATACGACTTTTATAGTCTGAGTTTACATGTGCCGTGTGACTCGCTGTCACATGATGTGGTGTGTCTTTGTTTACTTGGATGGTGAGCATTTGTTTACTCTAATAGTCATGCTGCGGTGTTGAAATAAGCAAATCATTAGAATGTACGAGCGTTTGACCGCAAGGAAAATGAAGAATAAGAAATTGTAATAAAGGGCGATGATTTTTGCCATCCTGATGCTTTTATTAAGCGCTCTCTAGCGTAACAGATTAATCAGAAAGAATGGAAATGGGGCCGGTCTTATGTTTATGTTAATGCGGCCATCTTGGACTTCCCACTGTTACGGGCGTTACGGAAAAAATTCAGCTTGGCATTATATCTGAAACCAATTAGTATACACTTAACAACATATACGTCAGTTTTGGTGCTTTTACAACAAAACCGACAATATTATCTGCGCCACTACACTGTGTGTTGACTTTATTCGCAGGTTTACCGTGAGCGTTACTTCTGATATAGTTTGCGCTAGCTTGGACATATGTTACAATGATAAAGGTGGCCCATACACATGCCAACTCTTCCCCCATGACAACGAGGTACGATGAAATACTTACATTCTAGTAATTCAAACATATTTCAATTGTGGTTAAATTAAGTATATTAAAGTCACGTGGTCCATGATTAAATAATTTATAGTATTACATGTACGAGTAGAAACAGCATATAACCATATAGAACCTATATGTATTTTGTGATGCCATGCAGACAATAGTATAAATTTATTAAGACGGTGAAAAATAGCGGTGAATTAATGAAAAATATAGATAGCAATAGAAATGCGCTAAATCATATTTCTCTTTAAGTTGCAATCCATAGCAAGGCAAGGCAATCATATCAGAATCGTAAAACGCTACGTCCAAATTTTCTATTTCGCTTTTTCAGTTATATATTTTCTATATCGCGGGCACACAATTATTAGGCAAATTTTTTTATTTTCGAAATAATTTCGTGGATACGAACCCTAAACACTGTAGAATTCTCGGTGAATCTGTAAGCAATCTAGTCATGAATTTCTCTTCCCCTTTGCATGTTGACATATAGGTTGACAGATAGATTGTTTACTTACGTTTTAAACGCAACGTAATAATATAGTTTTTTTTTTGCTGAATCACATTTCAAAATCTCTACTATAAGTTTGTTAACACGTGATTTGGTAAGGGAGAGGTTTGCTATTAAAGTCTTCACTATTGTTACTATCTCGACAGCTTGCGTATAGCGAGTCTATGGTGAAAGCGTCGTGGATTGTAAAGAAACACCTACGACGAGTAAGTATGTAACCCAAGTGAGCATGCGGCACATCATTAAAACGACCTCATCAAACAGGTTATCCGTCCGCCGAAATGTAACCTATTCACATTAATGCTAATAGTCAGGAGGCTTAGGTCCAGATTTGAGAAGGATGGGGACATTCCTGATAAAAGCACCAAATTTTTTCCATGTATATAATACTTGCTCGTTGTTACAATAATTAAAATTGTGATATTTTGTGACGGCGGACGGAGTGCATGTTTTATATATGTCACATGCTCCGACCATTACATATCATCTTTTACTGCAGCCGCTGATGTAATATCATTTCCTTTCTTTTATTCTAAATTGCATAGACGGCGAAAGCACTACTTCCTGCAACACACAGGTTTTAACCAGAATTAAGCCCAGGCGTAAAATCAAACTATCTATAATACAAAGTCAGGCAGCACGAGTTGACAACTATGTTATACAGTGAAAACTTGTAGACTAGCTTATAACAAACAGGTGACACACACACACACACGCACGCACGCACGCACGCACACACACGCACGCACGCGCGCGCGCGCACACACACACACACATACACACAACAACACACACAGCACACACACACAATTCACCACACACACACATATATTATAACATAATATATCTATATATATATATATATATATATGAATATATATATAATATGATATACTATATATATCATATCCTAGTCTGTACTTATTGCGCGTTTAAATACAAAACAGCGGCGAATCTAGTTCATATATTCAAGCGGCTCACCAAAACTCAAAGATTCACGGAAATAATATGCACACAGTTCTGCAAACACCGCAACCATGAACACCGATCCGTTGCGCGCTTCCATCTAACACACCGATAGTAGCCATAAACCACTATCACTACCACTAACAATCAATTGCTAGGTGTATAAAACCAGTGTCAGTGCGCACTTCCGGCATTGAACCGTGGGCTTTTGCGCCATTGGCCATTAATAATATACATAATTTGTCTGCGGGCAACCTGCCGCACGCTGCACCCTTTCCACACCTATGGCCCGCCATATACTCTCGCCCAGGGCCTCCCCCGTACTACGTCCCTGAGTAACCCAAAACTAGTAGACCACAAAGCAGGCACCTATGCAAGTGTGATACTTCTGTGACGCTAAAGACATCTTATCGAAAGCAAAAGGAAAAAGCGAACATACCACAGAAAACCAGGGTCTACCTTAAATTAGAAGTCTATATCCCATTCCTCTTCACAGCTAGCTGTAAATCTTCCAATGCCCAGTTGCATCATTATGCAGATGTAGTTTCAGATGATTGTGTTACACAGACAACAAAAATCCGATCTTTTCAGAGAAACGCTAAACGTTCATCGGGATAGAGCAGCTGCATGGACTGTAAGCGATCTGTTTAAATAAAGTTGATCGCGTAAGTGAATAAATTTTATTATAACAGTCGCTGTAAATCATCTGTTGTAGCTAATATGAACTTGTGAAAAACCGACTTAAGTTGCAGCGTTTAAAAGGTTAGCATGTTAATCTTCTTGTAGAAACTCTGCATACCCGAAGTCGCAATATCCACGTTAGTGTCCGTATATGTATCTAATTTATTAATTCGTTACAGTATCTGAAATGGCATGACCTGGCTTGATGATGACGGCGATGGATTCAACACGATACAGTTATTACGTGTTACGTGATGATTACGTTTAAACATAACCTGCAGGTTTTCGCGTCATACTAACACAGTCGACACATGTAATGGCTGTGAAATAAAAGTACACTCATTAATTCGAGTCTCGCTGTTGTATGCTTTCTTCCTTCCCTTCTGCTCTCCCTCTCGTCACTCGCTTCTCCCGTCCTCGCTCCTTCCTCGCTTCTCTCTCCCTCCTCAGTCCCCTCATCTCCGTCTTCCGCTACCTCTCTCTCTCTCTGTCTCTTTCCTTTTCTCTCTGTTCGTCTTTGTCTCTGTGTCTTTGTCTCCTCTCTATCTCTTTTTCTTACTCTCTTTCGCTGTCTATCTATCTCTATCTCTCTCGCGCGCTCGCTCCTTTTCTCTCTTTCTCTCTCTCTCTCTCTCTCATTTTCTCTCTCTGGCTCTCTCTTTTTCTCGCGCCCCCTCTCTCTGTGTGTATATATATATATGCTTTTAGGCATTAAGGGGAACGGCATGGAGAGGTAGAGACTGCAGAGACGACCATGCTGATATATATGCAGGCACATGGTGAGTAGGTCTATGCTCTCATATTATAAACAGCTTATATATATTTAAATGTTATTATTATAAGCTAGCTATTACACGCTAAAAATGTTCACAATATTTATATATTTTACTTTACTTCTACATCTTACTCTTGATATCACGAATCAATGAATAGCATATGCCTCAAATTATAATATTAAAATAATTAATAAAAATAGATTAAATTTAAGCAATTAATATAGATTAAATCATTAATTGTAAATAGTATGTTACGAAATTACTGAAAATTTACTAACGTATCTGTTCTATTTACTAGGCCGGCAGATGGGGATAAATTTCAGGATTCAAACTGTAACGGGATACATGTATGTACCTATTGCCCTGCAGTTACAAACCATAAAATGCACAAAAAATATCTGAAGACCTTAAGTTCACTCTGTTGTTTATTCACTATATATCGTATTGCACGTAGATAAGCAACACATTGCAGGAGCATGATGAATCTCCATACCCGGTGGCTTTAAGATGTAAAGTACACTAGATCACCGCACAGGCTAACTGTTGGCAGTGCGACACCGTTAGATGGGAGAGTCCATTAGATAGCGATAAGCATGTTTTATATACAAATTGATGTATATATGTATTTCGTAAATACCTATTGAGAGAATCACCTATTTGCATAGAGTGATTGACGGGTAGCTCTATCCAATCAGTGTTGCGATGGGGGTTCTAAAAATGCTGCTTAGTAGGAAAGTGCCGCATTCTCGACAATTTTGCACGCGAGCGTGGAAACAACGTTTAAACTGGTCTAGGTTGACGGACATAGCAACAATATCCAAGCGGCGCGAGGGTATCTCTCTCACGCCTTGTTGATCACAGGGCACGAATCCGGATACGGGACAGTCCTACGAGAGGGAGTTATGCAGCGGAAGCCGGCCTATGGGGACCATCGTGATTGGTGATTCAGCAAGCGCACACTTCCACGCGCCCCCGGAGTGGTTCACTGTCAGGGATCTGTCTAAGGTAGGCACAGCTTGAATTGTCAGGGAACATTCTAAGGTAGGCACAGCTTGATCTGTCAGGGATCTGTCTAAAGTACGCACAGCTTGAACTGTCAGGGATCTGTCTAAGGTAGACACAGCTTGAACTGTCAGGGATCTGTCTACGGTAGGCACAGCTTGAGCAAATTCCAACGTAGAGAGTCGTAAAATTTCGTGGCTCAACTGAGTAATGGCGAAGGTAGAGAGGAATCGCTTTCCATCCTAGTCGCGTAAGATTCCTGGTGGTTTAGGCGAATAGCATAACAGGCTGAAGCAGTTGCCTTGCAGTTTCCACGCTTATTTGAAGGCGATGTTCATTATCGATACCGCGTAATGAAGAATTAGACTTGCCTTTTCCTTCATCAGGACATCCTGCAGAATCTGACAAATGTGATTGAAAACGAACTAGACTGGCCACATCTGTCCTATTTCACTGGTAGGTGTTGTGTTTCGTGATACGTCATGAAGTCTGTGTTGCGGCAAGAAAATACTGAACCAGTGTGCGTTTGCCTGTCGCTCTGCGTGAGATAAACACCCTCCTTGGTTATTGTTGCCAGGTGGGATAAGCTAGACTAGCCAATGTACGTTCTACACACGTGCACGCCTCTGCGACACTTTGTTGTTAAGCACTGTTTTTTAGAACGTCTAATCGCGACGCTGATTGGATAGATCTGCGTGTTAATCACTCCAGGTGGATCGGTCGATTACCTGATCATGTTAACTCATGTGATTTCAGGTTTTGAAAACATCAGCTGGCCAATCATTCACGGTACGACGCAATCGGTCTATAGCCGCATGCGGGAACGAAACCGCTGCAATCACCGCGATTACCAGAACCTCGCTGTTAACGGTGAGTATGTATGCGGTCAGATAGACGTGGTCAGATAGATGTGGTCGGATCGAAGAGGTCAGATCGATATGGTCAGATAGATGTGGTCAGATAGATGCGGTCAGATAGTTGTGGTCAGATAGATGTGGTTAGATAGATGCGGTCAGATAGATGTGATCAGATAGATGTGGGCAGATAGTTGTGGTCAGATAGATGTGAGCAGATAGATGCGGTCAGATAGATGTGGGCAGATAGATGCGGTCAGATAGTTGTGGTCAGATAGATGTGATTAGATAGATAGATCAGCACGCGTCGATAATTCTCGCCGTTTCAACACACCCTCAGTTGCTAACATAAATCTATTAACGAATATCCCACCCGGATATGGAACATAGAACTGTTTAGATTACTCTTCATGTTTCTGTCACGGATAGAGTAAATCCACGTATCTTAGGGGGCAGGAAGTTAGCCTGATTTCTTTTATATTTATTCATTCTTAATATTAGTATTATTTATAATCACATCAAGTTAATACCTACGAGGATTTTTTACCCAAAAAATGTCCAGAGTGACGTCGTGTCTCGCATTCTTGCCAAATTTTTGAGAAATTCGAGTCTCTGCAGACAGCAATCTAATACCTCAGCTACATATGTCCCCCAATGATGAATGAATCAGTGTGAAAATGCATAAAATCATACCTGTATCCACATGACGTCAGAATTTGTAATTATTATGTTGGTGTATTGATTAATCAAACATGCTCTTCACTTACTCACCGTATTTGAATGTAACTTTTATTGTTGTCACAGGTGCGAGTTCATTTGATTTATACAGTATTAGAGAAGCGTAAGTTTACATTTCTTGAGCATACGTGCGTGTCAAAGTTCCTATATGCTGCACAATAACATAGTAGATTGCATGAATTTCGCTTTACCTTTGGTATGCACTTGTATGTAGCTCTATTGAGCGAGAGCAGTGAAGCCATGCTGAATTATTTTAGAGTGGTATTCTTGTTTAGGCTGGCTAGGAACCCGAGGAACGACTACCCCGCGTTTGTCGCGATTGCGCTGGTCGGAAATGACGTGTGCAATCAGTAAGTGATCTAGCTATACATGTATGGTCCTTTCCACAGAGAGACGTTTGTCATAGGAATTAGTTTGGGCAGCTATAGATTCGTAAAGACCTAGGTATTATGATAATGTATTAGATTCTATTCCATGCTCTAAGTGCTCTCTATCGTTATCGTGGCATCACTAACGGTTAGAGCTAACAAAATCAGCCAGTTGGAATCCGTTCGCGTATTTCGCTCCATTGTGCGGTACATTACAAAACATGCAGGCATATACGCACTGATTACTGTGCGCATAAATAGCCGAAGATGTGTTTGTGTAAGTACATAATTACCTGGTATTGTTACCAGTTACCCCGACACACTGGCACACATGACGACACCAGAGCAGATGCGATACAACCTGCTGGACACACTCGTGTGGCTGGTATGTGTTATATAGGCGATGATGAATGCGCAGTATAGATTGAAGAAATTATCACATCAACATATTTATACAGCGCATATCAACATATACAACTGTATTAAGACAGATTTAAACATATATTCGTTAATACTCTGGTCAAAGGCGGTTTAATTGTTGATTTGGGCGTTGAGTAATTTCAAACTAAAGCTGATCCTGATCCGCCTGGTGAAATTGCCAGGCAACTCTACCCAGTTATAAATTATATAAGGCGGTCTAAAATACAATTCTTGGCACCGAGGTGTTACACATGCGACAACTTGGTGTGCACACGTGACCGACCTAGCGACAATATTCAAAGCGGCGTGCGGCTATTTCTCTCAGCGGGCTAGGAAATTATTACAGGGGATCTCAGCAGGAATTCTTATTACTATAGTTTGTTAATCCTATTTCGCAGGACAGCCACCTTCCAGCAGGTAGTCACGTGTTACTTGGTGGTTTAGCCGATGGGCGTGTCCTGTACGAGGCCCTGCATAATAGGGTACACCCTATTGGTTCACTGAGAGGTGACGTCAAGTACACTGATGTTTACAATTGGTTTAACTGTCTAGAGGTCACTCCATGCATGGGATGGATGAACACCAATGAAACAATGCGTGACCTCACCTCCAAGGTGGGATGATGAGATATATCGTAATCATAACTGAACAAGCCGTGTTTTCTTTCATAATTTTGCCGCACTGAATGTTTCACAGAACGCACATGTTTCATTTTAAATTGGGTCAATAAAATGATAATTTAATTATCAATAGATTAATTTTCAACACACGATATGAAGGCACGTGAATGAAATGTGCAGCTATAGATTCGCATATAGAATGCGCTACAGTCTTTGCATTCTAGTCGGTGAAAACGTGCTGTAAAGCTGATATGATGTCGTTTACTTTTAGAGAGCTGCGGAGTTGACGGAAGCTATCAAGCAGCTGGCTCTAGAATACACCAACACGTTCATAAATTTCGATGTGCATTTTCTTCCATGCCCGATGCAAGAAGGTGCGCGTGAGAGAATGAATTTTAAACGGAATCGTTTTGCGCTAGATCTTAAGCAACAATCAAGCTTGGCACATTTATCAATGGCATCTTAATTAACGTACGAAAGCAAGAGCTCTGAGAAAGCATTAACTTAAGAGGTTTTGTAATCATTATAGGCAGTATTGCTTGTATCGAATTTGTTTGTAGCAATCGATATCTGGGTAAAACAAGGGAGAGAGATCTGGGAGCTGATAGAACCAGCTGACGGTTTCCACCCAAACCAGGTGAGTCACGTGTTGAAGGAATGTTTGCAATTAATTACTTCTATAAGTCTATCGTCTCTCAACCGTTTTTCTGAAACGTCGGTACTTAGATTTCTCTAGCGCAGAGTATACACCGGTTTTTATGCACCCTAACAATTATTTAAGCATTTGTGATTCTTACGCTATGTTGTGTACAACTCGATTTTCATCAAATTACAATTAATGTTAGAAATTTACGCTAGTGTATTTAATTGATCAGACCAGGTGAAAAATGTTAATCCATAAATATCAACGAGTTCATTTATGTAATCGATTTAATTTAGGCATTATATGATGAAATATTATCAGATATTATCAAAACAAACGGTCATGATTTGATCTCTTTTTTTCTCTTCACGTCCATATCAGTTTGGGAACAAGCTGTTCGCAGATGTATTGTGGCGCCACCTCGAGTCTGAATTTCCCCACATTATTGGCCAGGAGAACCCTAACAATGATGTCATAGCCGCTACGTTTGGTGATCAGGGCGGTTACTAGCTGTAAGAAACCTATGCTAGGAAAACTACAAAACTAAACACATCTGTGTCATTTATTTATGGATCAGTTATGTATGCTACTGACGTAATGCTATATTGTAAAATTACAATAAAATGACTGTAATGGTGCCGCTCTTTAACGATAGACGTTTCTTGAAATAATAGGTAGGTTAAATATATATATTTAAAATCCTGCTACATGGGATTTAAGCACGTTAAAGACATGTTAATTCCTAAAGAAGCTTGAACTTCTGGTTTGTTTTCGGAGTTCAACGATGAGGAGTAGGGCGCCATTAATAGTGTATGGAATCAAACAGCTATTAATAGCTTATTGTATATAATTATAACGTTCATCGTTTTCACAAAGAACAGATCTGCTTGTTTCCTAAATGCTATAAATTATCATTAATATTATACTATTATTACTCGTTGTTGTGTAAGTGTTTTATGTGAAGAATTGCATTGACTCGTGTGTCAAGGCTATTCTCGCAGCTCGTGGTTCTCATTTGGGGGAGGAGGGCGATCACCAATTGTTCTTGCATATATTCTCGTTAAAATTTCACTTTGAATGCGGAAAAAGAAAACTATTAAGCGGTTTATTTCTGTTATCCGTATAGTTACTGTAAATGGTTGCTTTCTTGTGTGGGGAGCCCGCATCACTGGGAAATGCTGACCTCTGGAAGCCATTGGCTGGAAAAATCTATTCTTATACACATTGACACAGATGATTATAAGGGATGTCTGCAATGCATTGGCATTGATGGTATATGAGGAGAGACCAATGTAAGACCAATTTCTTGCTTTTAGGAGAAATATCTCTGGCATCTCCTGCATTAGGCTTCGGTATTTTGAAAAGTTATGTTGAAAAATAAATGCGAGCCTTTAAATATATACAGCCAGTAATTTACAAAATGAGATAAGATGAAAATAGAAACCTTGAAAGAATCATTAAATATACCATGCTCTTCATTTCATAATATACATAGAGTAAAAGAAACATGTGTATACATTTAGACAATGAACACTTTATTTACACTTAAATGTGATTACATCTAAGATAAAAGCGACAAAAAGTAACAATCATTGTCTCAATGGACATGTAATTTGCATGTAGTAAAATATTTATGTATAATATTGATATAAAACAATTACTTTATGGCGATTACATAACATTATCACGATATTGTACTATCCATACATCCATCTTATTCCGCGGCAATCTTATCATATAGGCTGATTAACAAACAAATCTCGGCCTATTGCGTAATCAATCACATTTAGGAAACGCAGGGGTAAAATATCGTACATGACCAGATAACAGCACTGAACATTACACTAACCTAATTACATTAACCTAATAGTCACCTATTATTATTCGACCTCGATTAACCTATTATCCTCCTGGAATGATTGACAGGTAGACCTACATCGTACCATTGCAATAGGGCCGTTCTACATACGCTTCTAAATCAAAAAAGTGTCATTAATCAACAATTTGGCGTTCATGCGTGAAAAACACGTGTGAAATTACTTTTACTAGCATGACAGGACCTAGTAACAACATCCAAGTAGGCGTTGTTATCCCGCGCAGACGGCCAGGTGAATTGAAATCTGAGTCATATTATTGTCATACACTATGTAGACATTTGTAACAGGTGATCAGACCATCAATATGCCGACGCATCAGATTATCTTCATGAATCGGGACGAATATATTATTATTATTATTATTATTATTTATATATATATATATATATGTGTGTGTGTGTGGGGGGGGTGTGGGGAGGGTGTATGCGTGTGTGCGTGCATGAGTTTGTGTGTGTGTATAAATTTATGTGTGTATGTGTTCGAGTGTGTGTGTGTGTGTCTGTGTGTGTGCGTGCGTGCGTGCGTGCGCGTGCGTGCGTGCGTGCGTGCGTGTGTGTGTATGTGTGTGTGTGCGTGTGCGTGCGTGCGTGCGTGCGCGTGCGTGCGCGCGTGCGTGCGTGCGTGCGCGTGTGTGTGTGTGTGCGTATATGTGTGTGTGTGCACGCGTGTGGGCCTGTGAGAATGTTTATTTATGTAACTCATAAAACGAGTTGCTAGCTTAATTAATTGAGAACTGCGCGACGAATTGACGGAGATTGTCTAAAGCCAAATCGGCTAGTATTGTGATTTCAATTTGGGCTGGGCAAAAATGCTTAAAACCATATACCCACGCGTGCGTGTTAGAAATCGAACATGCACTTTCTCGTACTTTTAAAATATTACCGTAATGCAACAGAATTATTTTCATCCGTCCTTTTGCACTTGTGTCTGTGCCGGATGTCTGTGTAATATAATTGTCGCAAGGTGGCGTAGCAGGGTGATAATTACGTAGTCCATCATTAGAGATCAGTGATGCCGTGTACCTGACACATGATACTTGGATGGGTGGGTACGAGACTTGGGGCGGAATTACTTTATCCTAAAAGAAAAGAAAAATAACTCATATGTACTCTGCATATAAATAAATAAATGAATCAAATAATTAAATAAAGAATTACACAATAGAATTACCGCTTGTTTGTAGTTGTTGGTAATGCATCTAGTAATGTTATAGTTAGATAACATGATTAAGACCATCGGACAGATGTGCCATTCAAATATGTATACATACTACAATACAATATGTAAATTGTGGTGCGAAAAGTACATGGCTATCTAGAAGGATTGAACCTTACTTTTCTCATAGCCGACTTCGAGGCCGTACTCATCGTGGTCATCGTCATGCCCATAGTCGTCATCGTGACCATATCCTCTGCCTTTGTCATAACCTCCTCTTCCTTTACTATGACCATCATCATGGCCATAACCTTCATCATGACCATAGTCATCGTGCCCGTACCCTCTTCCTTTGCCATACCCTTCTCTGCCTTTGCCATGACCATCATCATGGCCATAGTCATCATGTCCGTACCCTCGTCCTTTGCCATAACCTCCTCTGCCTTTGCCATAACCATCATCATGGCCATAGTCATCATGTCCGTACCCTCGTTCTTTGCCATAACCTGCTCTGCCTTCGCCATAACCATCGTCATGACCATAACCATCTCCATAGCTAATGTATTTCGTCTCTGTGTATCCAGTCTTCTTATTCAGGCCTACTCTAGATTTGTATTTCCTACTGCCTTTCGGATATGGAGGAAACTTATTGTCCATTATCCGTATAGACCTGTCTTGGCTATTACTGAAATACAGCTCGGTCTGTGGGCTTCCACCGTATCCTTGGGAATTAACCTGAAACCAATCAAAATCGACACAACCGTTGTTATTTTATGTTGGTATATCTAACGTTGCCTACTTGTCTACATGTTATTGCCAACAGTTTTTAAAATATTCGGGTTTAGAAATCTTTAAAACTGATCTTACGACCCGCGTTGTTTGCTAAAAACTAGGCGGCTTTACTCCGTATTATTTAAAAAATACAAGACTGACGTATTGAGTAGTGTCTTGGTTTTATTGTCAATCTATTTACCAGACGAATTAGACACGATAATGCCTATATTTATTATTATAAAGTAGTAATATTTTGGTCTATAAATTACTTACCTCTCGAATTAGTACAATTAGCAACATAAGAATAACGAGGGTCTTTGGATGATATCTAAAAATACACGTAAAGTAATCAGTAATGTAAATTACACGACACTTAGTGGGCATATCTGTATAGTATTATTGTACAATATGGTAGTATATTCACAATAACTTTACTTCATATAAATCCACGGAACTGACCTGTTAGCAAGATTCGTCATCGGAATTTATCGTCAATTATAATTACTCCCAATATTATCATGAAATCCGATAAACTCATTTTCATATCTTTTATTTTAGTTGAATGCATGATAGTGGCATACAAATCCAACTATGAAGATGTAACTGTGTGCCGAGGTAGCAATATTTCATTCATTGATCGCTCACCTACGCCGGCGATCTCTGCACACGCGATTCTCCTCAATGTGTAGAATCATTCTAGAACTTCTGTATATGCTCCCGATATCACAGCTTTTTCTGCCAACTTCTGCCCGGATAACGCAGCTTCTTCTGTTCGCTCCTGACATGACAACACAGCTTCTTATGCTAGCTTTTGCTCAGAGAACACAGATTCTTCTACCAGCGTCCATCCGGATATAACACAGATACTTCCGTTAGCTTCGGACCGGATAGCACGACCTTTTCTCTTAGCTTCCGTCCGGATTACAAGCTTCTTCTGCTAGCTTCTCTCCGGACAATACAACCTATTTTGCTATCTATCGTTCGGATAACACAACGACTTGTGCTAGCCTGTCCAGATGACACAGCTTCTTCTATCTTCCGCACATCGATACGATGCGCGCTGTCTTGCTCCGGCCACGCCGTCACCTACTCTCACCGCTCGCTTCCGTGACTGTACGCGAGATCGTACACAGCCGCAGGCAGCAGACTGAGCGGGCTGTCCGGCATGCTGCTGTTAACCCCCATCACCGATGCCTCCTCGCCTACTTTCGCATAAACGCCACTCGATTTTCTTCGGTAATTATTTAGGTTGGTCGATATAAATATCCGCTCATCCAGCAGACAAAGTGACGAGCCATTTAGGTTAGCACGAAATTGTTACGGTGTTTGAAGGTAAATTGCTGCGCAAACAACACCCGGCATGTAGTCGTTACAACTCACCGCGCTAGAAACCTATCGCACTTATTCAAGCTATTCTCTGTTCGCTTGCGCTGCCCTGAAAGTGTCGGGAACTTCATTCGCTTTCAGGGCAAAGGTAATTAGTTAGAGAGTTTGGGTAATTAGCTCAATTAGGCGTAGTTACGTCATATGGTTATAAAACTAGATTACGAACTCGTGAGCGCAGGTCCGTGATAGTTTTCTTAATAAATAGTTCTATACTCCCTGCAGAAGATCATCTCTGTGGGTAATTCGATTCGTAGAAATCTAATCATGTGAATATTTTTTCTATCTATCGAGAAATATTTCTTTGCCATTATAATATCATATATATATACATACATATTATTCATTACATACATTATCTATATCCCTTAGCGTAAGTTATCTCTTTTATTTGAATTATGAACAGCCCTGGTGACAAATTTCCCAGTTCCTCCATTCTTACTCTAATTCTATATTCATAATTTATCATTTATATATATATATATATATATATATATATATATATATATTAATCCTATTTCATGATCAATGCCACTGTGACAAAGCTTCCATGTCATGGCGAAAGAAGTTTCGTGGGTGGCGTTAGTGATTCACTGAACATCGTTGACGTTGTTAACGGTTCAAACGAAGCCCTAATCGGCGGCGTAACAAACAGCTGAGCAAAAAATGGCAGGCGATTCGGCCTAACTAACCGCCGCGTGCCGTCCGCCGCGTTGTCTGTTAGCAAGTCAATTGGTCGTCTCGTCGGTGTATTGGCGAAACGGTAGGTGGTCGCGCTGACGGGCGGACAAAAAGGAAGGTAGGGGGCAGGCATGAAGGTTGGCAGACAGATAGGCAAGCTGGCAAGCGGACATGTAAGGCAGGCAGGCGCGCAAACAGACGGCAGACAGACAGACAGACAGACAGACAGACAGACAGACAGACAGACAGACAGACAGACAGACAGACAGACAGACAGACAAGCAGGCAGGCAGGCAGACATACAGACAGACATACAGACAACAGACAGACAGACAGACAGACAGACAGACAGACAGACAGACAGACAGACAGACAGACATACAGACAGACATACAAACAAACAGACAGACAGACAGACGAACAAACAGACAGACAAACAAACAAACAAACAAACAAACAGATATACAGACAGACAGACAGACAGACAGACAGACAGACAGACAGACAGACAGACAGACAGA